TATACTGCTTGATTTCTTTGTAGCTGTATTATGATATTAAAAATGTTGAATTATGACTGTTTAATGGTCGGTACATTGTTCATAAATACACATATAACATGAACAGTCAACATGGGCATACAAATAAGAAGCAACTCATAAATGGAAAACCTTTTCAAGTTTTGTTTAATATACCTACATAAAAAAAACCTAAATCTGAAAGGAGTCATGGTTATTGGTTAACTTATTACTTACTTAGATTTGGGAACAGTGTTAAGTTTGTGTATTTGTTTTGTCATCCATCCCTAGCTTGTGTTTTCCAATTGAAATGAACATTAAAGTGACTTGTTTGACACGTTTTTTTTAAATGGTGATTCAATACTTTGAACAAAGATCTGTGAGTCTTTAACCATAGCCATCTTAGATATAGAGCATTTTTGTTTAATTGTCTTATTTACGTACCTAAATAGCATTCAGTGTAACAACATTTAAGTATTACCTTACTTTCCATTTGAACAAAGAAATCACACAAAGTCTGATTTTAATACATTTTAAGATGGAATAAAGGGTGGTCTTCCTCTTACCTGTCATTTTAACATTGCCAGATGCCCATACAACTATCCAAATGTGTCCAACAACCTTTTAAGTTTGGAAGTTGTGTTACATTAATAACTTTCCCCACAATAGAGTAATAAACTATCGCGACTGCTTCCGGAAGTGACGTACCATCAAAACGGCATTTTAATTGGCTGATTCTGGAAAGTGACGGTCGGTCTCTTCCAAAGGACCAATGAGCCGCAGGAGAGCGCCTCGTCGCATGTGAGTACATGCACTTTATTTCACATATTTATTAAAGACGTCATTATAAAATGTGTCCAAAGGCCATTTTACTATTGTATATTGACCGTTTGCATTAGTATAACTTACATATTGTTTCATAGTAGAAACAATATTCGCACGATATCTGTGTTTGCTAGCTGGCTAACGTCGAAGCTAATGGCTAACCCTTATTTACCTTTAGATATTAGCAACTTACAGCTAACGTTACCAGTCCGTTATAAACATCTTAAACCTGGTTAAATCTAGCTGTTTTATCCTTTGTTGTATCACTTTAGAAAAAGCAGCGAACACAATGTAAAGATTTTAGATAGAGCTATCATGACAGCAGTGATTACACGCTTTGCTATTTCAGATTTAGTGTTATTAAAGAAGTGTATGGACCTGCTTTAACTTCACCCTTAGATTGTTCGAGTGCAGCTAAAATGTAAAAGAAGTATCCTCTAATGTGTTAATTCATACCATACAAATTAACAGAATAGGTTGAGGGGGAAAAGGTGACCATACTAGCAGAACTTAATTTAGTTAAATATGAATGATTTTTGTCTATTAGGGCCAAGACAAAGATTTAAATGAACTTTTGTGTCACCAAGCCACTCAATAGAATACCAGTGGATGTGTGTGATGTAAATCTAGAAGCCTCTTGAATATTTTACCAACATTTTGCTGGCCTTGCTTATTTTGTGCCATGGCCACCAAACAAAAGGAGAAGCCGTTCTTTTGTATGCTTTACGTTTTAAACTAACAACAAAACTCTCTTCCCAGCTCTCTCTCGCAGAGGAGGGATGCCCCTGCGGGAGGAGAATGGAGACAGAGGACTGAAGAGCAATGGCGAGGCAAAGCCCAGGTGAGAGAGGTGGAGGAGGAGGAAAGACAGGAGCATCATGGGAAAGAAAGCGTGCCCAGGGGAACCTGCCAGACCATGTGTCCCACTCGTGAGCTGCAGGACCGCCAGCTGCAGAACTGCCTCCATCGCTTTGAGTTGTTGGCGGGCACAGAGAGAGATCGACGACCCAGAGGAGACCCCCTGCGTGCTGTCAAAGAATATTCCAGACCAGCAGCTGGGAAAGACTCCACAAACTCCTCTGACCTCCGTCCAGCGGCTGTGTTACTGAAAACTGTGTGTTACCTTATAGATAAGGTTGCTGCCTCCCCTCACCTGCGTCCCTGGACAGAGGCAAGTGTTATTTCCCCAGTCACTCAGTTTTTATAATATTCGATTTTTGTCATTTATTAAGGATTTGAACATTTGGCATCAACAACTAAGGAAACATAAACTCCTGCCCATTGTGTAATTTGTAAGTAAAGAAAGTCAAGAAAAGCGCTATATAATTTATTATTATTATTAAGTATTGTAAGTATTATTATTTGTGGTATTTAGGTACTACACATTGATCAGGTGAAGCGTTGCAACAAAACTTTAGTTAATTTGCAAATGTTGAACCAGTACACTCTACTCACCTGTCTCAGTGTTAACTCTACTGCAACACACAGACAGTAAGCACAGCTTCATATAAACATGTCTGTCATCGATATTTTCTTTGAAGTGCCAAAAAGCCCATAATGAACACATAGCAATGTGAGCAAATGTTTGGCTTTTGGAAAGTGCAGCAGTTTTAATATGTACTGTAGCACACGCTGTGTGGTATTGTTTGTAATACAATTCCACATTTTATAGCAACCATTTAAATTCATAATAAATCTTTTGCTGAAAATCACTGGTGAAACACCATAATATACGGATCTCAGCTAATAAATAGGTTGTGGATATGGTTACTTTTACAAGCCCAATAAGAACGGCGTAAGATTAAACATGCAATCATTAACACATAAAAACTATTCACAACCTATATTAACATAAATGTAACTTGTCTTCCAGGTGTACAACTTTGTCTTTGATCGGCTGCGTGGTGTGAAGCAGGACATGATCATCCAGAGGACGTCCGGGTTAAACTGTGTGGCCATTTTAGAACGGACGGTGCGGTTCCTCATCTACGTCTCGTACCGGCTCTGTGGTGAACCGCTGCGGCTCTACGACCCACGCATCAATGACACACACCTGCAGGAGAACCTGAGCTGGCTGTTGGACTGTTACGCAACTGGAACAGAACCGCATCCCAACCAGGAAGAGTTCCAGGCTCTCGGTCTGCTCTACAACTTGGGTTGGTCGCCGTGTTTCATTGTTTAACACAAGTTGTTTTGGGGGGGTTGATTTGCTTTCATGTTAAAGCATTATATACATTATATAAACAGGATGTCAAGGCAGAGATCTGTTGAAAAAGCTTGTCTGTGTAGCATTCCCTCTCTGAATAAGCTTTTCACATTAAAACGCAACATTTTGTCAACTTCAACAAAAGCAAGCGGCTGTACTGGATTCATAACCTCTTTCTGCTTTCATCAGATTCAATAATATACATTTAAAGGACATTTGTATTGCTGGTCACCTGTAAGAATAATCTTTATCTTTTTTATTGTCAGAAAAAAAAAGTGTCATATTTTTTTATAATTATAATAATTATAACAAAGAGAAAGAAAAAAAAACATTCAAGGTAAAACATTTTTAAAAAAATATCTCAAATCTCTGTCATGTTCAACAGGGGCAAGAAGAAACTTAAAACAACTTTTCTGGTCCTACCCCCTCTCGTGTACATTTTTCTTGAAAATAAAAATCAAAGTCAGCGTCATGTTGTAAAAAAAATGTTTTTGTACAAAACAACCAAAAAAGGATTAACTTTTAGAATGACAAGAAATAACAGGTATGAGTTCACAGGTCCTGCTCATAACCATTAATGATTTGGTTTCTAAATAATAGTTTTAGTTTAGATCAACTTGTACAATATTAATGTCAGTAAATAATGTCTTCATGCTTGCTTCTCCTCTCCTCCAGGTTCAGCCCGTGCAGCGCAGCACATCATGGAGCTCCCTGAGCGTCTCCGCTGCTCTCCTGCCGTCACGCTCGCTCTTTCCATCAACCGAGCTTTCCACGAGCGAAACCCCGTACGTGTGCTCCGATTGGCTCGGAGATTGAACTTCATTCAAAGCTGTGCTCTGCACCGTCACCTGGTGTCATGTCGCAGAGATCTGATGCTCATATACAGCCACGGATTCAGCAGCCGCAACTGTCGCTTCCCTCTGGACCGACTGGCTCAGCTCTTGTGTTTAGACGCGTCTCTCACAACCCGACTCTGCCAGGCGCACGGAGTGGAGGTTAACCGGGACAACCAACTGATCTTCTCCAAGGCAGCTTTCACTGAGCCTGAACAAGAACAACTGCACTGCAAACTCTATCACAACATAGTGGCAGAGAAACAGAGAGACCTCAGTGTTGGCGATATCATTCACGGCTGCACTTAAAACAAACAAAAGGAGTAAATCAGAAGTACAAATAATCTGAATTTTCACTCAATCCGTTTTCTCTTATCCCTTCTGAAAGGACATCAGTGCCAATTGCATTAACTTAAGGTCTAGTCTAAATACACCTCATTGTTGGTTTATCACTTAAAGATGATTGGATTCGAGCCTTGTTTCTTGGTCAAATGTTCAACATAAGGGTCAGGGCTTGTGTTGATCTATTGTCTACAATGCTCCACCTGTGAGAGGCTGCACTCAGGCAAAAGAAAAATATGTCCCTCTTGGTTCTGGATATTCTTTTCAACCCGATCATGAACATGGTGCCTGAAATACTTTTAAAATGTGAATTACTTTTACAATGTTACACTTGACTGTTTATCATGTTACTTTGTAAATGTTATGTCAATGCCATTTTGTGTTTTTATGTGACGCATTTCAGAAAACCAGCTGGAAAATCTACTGTGCATCAATGCTCATTCATTCTCATCAATGCAGTACCTCAAAAGTATTTAAATAAATGTTTTTCTACCTAAAAGCAAACAGTCTTGGTCTTTTATTTGAGACTTAACTGCATCTAACCTCGCTTACCACTTGAGGGCAGCAGATATCTACAGAGAGCATCTCCAACAAGTACAACAATAAGTGACTTAAATGTAAGTAATCCTTCTTAAAGTGTTTTTTTTGATGTTCTTTGAAATCTGTACCCCAGTTTAGGCGTCTTGTGAGGTTTTCCAATGCAAAAGCAACCGGTTGAAGCTGGTAACTCTTCTGGGATGTGTCCTGGAGCAGAAGTGTGCAGGTAATTTACGGTGTTCTCAGCAGCAGCTCCGAGCTGCTCCTTACTCTGGGGTTAGTCCTGCTGCAGCTCAGAGGGGAGAGCAGCTATTGAAGGGAATGAAGTACAGCCTGATCTGCAGGAACAATCGAGGGAAGCAATAGTTGCACGGACTTTTTTTACATGTCAAACATTTCTTTACTGCTGGCTGAAGTGGGAGGACGCTTCCAATTTGTAATGCTGAAATATGAGAGAACGGAACCGGGGCGGGTGAAGGCACATGGGAGAGGACTGTCCGTGTACTCGGGGCTCTGAAAGGAGGGGGAAAAAACACGCTTGGAAGTGGATTTGGCGAAGTGGGATGATTAAAAAAAGTTTAAGTTCCGGACGGAGCTCTAAACACCAGCCACGCCAATGGATATAAAGAGAGAGCGAGCTGCAGACTGTTAACATTTCATTTAACCTCTCATCTAGAGTTTGGAGATCCCAAACTCCGATAGAAGACCAGCACTGTGTTGGGGAGTGGGGCCAACATGTTGCGGTGGTCTCTGACAGCTTTGGGTCTTTCGTGGACTTTGTTCCTCTGCACCGCGAGCCCCAGTGCTGCCCCGGAGAGACAGTGAGTACTGTGCTGCATGTCTTTGAAGTGAGCTGCAGTGATTTGAACTCACTGCGAGCATTTCCGATGCTCTCAACCGGGAACTTTAGAGTAAATACTAGGCTACATCACTTTAATTTAATCTTTACAATTTCACATAAAATGTTTGGTTATAGCAACATAAACTTAACTTTTTAATATGTGCAGCAAATACTTTGATCGTTAACTTGCAATACTTAATGCATCATTAACCTGTCCTAATCTCGTACTGTTGGTGAATATGTGAGGATTTCATATCATAACATATGATGACACTGTTCTATCACAACAGCTCTCCATTCATGTTTTTCTTTCATTTGAGTTTTTCATTCACTGCAGCCAGCAGCACACAAAGTGAAATATTCAGAGGTTACTCTGCTGATTCTTTTTCGATATCTGGAATATGTGCAACTTTTGGAGATGTTTTCTCATGCCTCATAAGATATTGAACAATATTTAAATACATGTGTTTGACAGTGGTCTAATTTATTCGCATCCAGTGGCAAAATAAGTCAAATTGACTTTAGTTTTTGTTTTGATCAGTCAGCTTCCCGAGGAACTTAATCCTGACATGGTTGTGTTGATAGCAAAGAGTTGTAAACAATTCTTCCAGGTAGTCCAGTTGGGAGGGATTGTGTGCAGCTATATGTGAATTAACCAAACATACTGAGAAATGCAGGCTTTATTCACTGAAGCATCTTAAATCTTAATTGAACAGCTGATCTGAGGGTCAAATGTGTTCAAAAAGCAAAAGTCTTAGAACATTGCACCATGTGACTGAACTAAAAAGGACTGGCTGTGAAACACTTCATCTACAAAAGAGAGCACAAATCCTTCTCAGGCACCGACCAGCTCTCAGCTGAGGAGAAAGAAGTTGGTCAAAAACAATAAGAACTTGAGTACAACGAGCCATGTGACTGAAATAAGCGTGGTCCACCACCTGATCATCGTGGTTAAACTCACTGTAGATCAAACGCTGCAGAGTCAATTTCCTCGTATTATCTTCCTTCTTCCGAAGCCTTGTTTTCCAGGGGTTTTTCTCATGACTTTCTCTCTCAGGAACTGCAGTAGCCCCCGGCTGTAATGCCAACCACCTGATCCCTCTCTCAGGCATGCAATTGGGTTTGTGCTCAGGGCTTTGCTCACTCCTAATTTGTGTGATCTTCAGTTATGTCTTCAGCGGGTGAGTGGGCATATTTGCCTAAAAGAAACGAGGTGGATGACTTGGTTAAGTTGGGAAAAACAAGAAGATATTCAGGTTTCAGGTATAGTCGGCTCATGTGGTGGGCATAAATAATTGGGTCTTTTCTCACATCGAGTAACTTTTAGATATTCAAAAAATACACCATTTGGGGAAATTCTTATTTTAAAAAAAAAAAAAAAAAAAAGCTTCCCTTCGACACCAGCATCTCCAATGGATCACACTACTTCAGTTACACAGGACTATGCCAACAAGAGCATCTGAAGTTGGCGTCTATAAAAGCGCTTTAGAAACATGAATGCATTTATAAATCTTTGTTTCTTGGGAGTTATAGTCCTTCAGCGCCAGACGCCATATTCTTTCATTGCAAATAAAAGGGCTTTTTCTCCCCCCCGTCCTATCGATGAGCATCAAAGAATGACCTTTGCTCTGTGACCTCAGTGACAGGCTCCTTCCCTCAATTAAATGTCAGAGCGAATGTGTGGAATCTCAGTCGTTATTCTTCAAAACAGACGCCAAGCTTCTGTCAGAGGTGCCGGACCACCCAAAGAGCCAAACCAGAGCAGAAAGCTCATTGGCTTCAACAGGTACTGCGGCGCTGGTAACCGTTGCAATTCAACCTGATCTCGCTGCACAAATCCAGGTGGAATGTCCCTGTTTGTTTGTGTGTTGACGTCGGGGAGAAAGTGAGAAACGAATCTGAATTCATGCTCAGTTCACCTGTAGGACATTTCATTACATCACATATAATTTGGCTGATGCTTTTATACAAAGCTACTCACAATAAATGCAATCAATCATGAAGCTACATACTCAAAACAGCAAGAATCCTGCAAGTAGCTCCTATAAGCCAAAACCTTTTAAAGTGCTACCTCATTGGCTTGACATAAGCCAGGCCTTTTAGGTGTTACATAAAGAAATTCCTTTATTTGATAGATTTTCTTTTTTTATTGGCCAAGATGCACTCGAAACAGGTGGGTCTATAGTGGGCCTGCAACACAAATTACTGACCTTCACTTTATCTCCTCCCTCGACCTCTCCCTCTTCTACTTTTTATAACCTGCATTTGTCTCTTCTTTCCCCTTTCATCCTCATTCCTCTTGCTTTTCTTCCTCCTTATCTTTCCCCACCTCGCTCTCCTTGCTCTCCCCACAGGGGTTATCTGGTCGCTGCCCCCTCAGTGTTTCGAGCCGGCGTGGAGGAGAGTGTGAGCGTCACCATCTTCAACGCCAAGGCAGAGACGCGTGTCCAGGTGCAGCTGACGGTGAAGGGGCAGACGGTCGCACACAGCCACGGCTCGCTGCTCGGTGAGAACAAAGCTAAGGTTGCACCGGCACAATGCATCACTTTTAGAGAGGAAAACGTGCGCTAACAAGTCGAGCTGTGAGACACCATGGTTATGTGATTTATTGGAAGGATGTGGGGATCACACAAGTGGCAAAAACAGATTGAAGATTGAACTTCTCATAGACACTATCTTTGATTGTAGGCATCAGTTCCACCCATCCCACCAGCCACTCTGTGTATACACTGTGTGATTGTGTGATGTGTTTGACAGCACCATTAATAAATGGTGTTTGCTCTACTTCAGAGGGGCATAGAGACGGGCTGCAGCTGGATTTCCTGGTCAAAAAAACTCAACATTCTAGTAGCGCTTAAAACCCCTGGAGATTATTACTTTTACACACATGTTTAGACAGATTTCTCAGAATGAAAATGCTCTTCTTACATTAAAATATCTCCTTGTTTCCATTTTAGACAAAGGCACCATCAAACTGAAGGTGAGTCTATCTGTGTAACTTTCCTCAGTACAGTAACATGCACGCTGCTGGTTAGTGGTGACAGCTGCACAGTAGTGAGCGCCCCTTGTCCGCTGTGTGCACATTCCTCAGGCAACATGCAAATCAACACTAACATTATTTGTAATGCAACATCTGTCTCTGTTCATTCATTGGGAATAAGGTAACAGCCTCGATATAATACGCAACAGCTGTTGACGTGCATGTATGGTCCGCCGCCCCCGAAGGCTGGAATAGATCAATCTAGTGTACACAACCTCGATTCTTCCCCGCTGTCTCCCTCTCCCTCCCTGGAACCTCCACCCTCATTCTCCTGAAGTGCAGTCATGTGTTATAGCGTGGCATCTTCCTCTGGTGTTTAAATGTTGTTTCTTTGCTATGCTGTTACCTTTTATTCCGTAACATCTTGTATTAAGGTGAATTTTAGTTTTTGTTTACTTAGTTTTTATTTCAGTTTCATTATACAGAGTTATTCTCATTTGAGTCAGCAGTTTTTTCCATTTTCATTTAGCTGTTTAGAACATATAGAAAGAAGACATCAAAGAAAATAGTACAACATTAAATCAATACAAGAGTTGAAAAATATCCTGAAAATAATAGACGTATGAAAAGATAAATAAAGGAACAAAAATAAATAAATTAATAATAAGAAATAAAAAAGAAGGGAGGGGGGGTGCGAATTAAGGTGAATTGTGTGCAGCAGCTTAGAGTAAACATTTCAATCCTACCCCTGTTGACCTAATTCACTTTAGATAAATCCAGCTCTGATCCTTGTGTGTGTGTGTGTGTGTGGTGGTGTGTGTGTGTGTGTGTGTGTGTGTGTGTGTGGTGTGTGTGTGTGTGTGTGTGTGTGTGTGTGTGTGTGTGTGTGTGTGTGTGTTGTGTGTGTGTGTGTGTGTGTGTGTGTGTGTGTGTGTGTGTTGTGTGTGTGTGTGTGTGTGTTGTGTGTGTGTGTGTGTGTGTGTGTGTGTGTGTGTGTGTGTGTGTGTGTGTGTGTGTGTGTGTGTGTGTGTGTGTGTGTGTGTGTGGTGTGTGTGTGTGTGTGTGTGTGTGTGTGTTTCTGCCACCAGGTTCCCTCTGGCTGAGAGGCCAGGCCCATCTGAAGGTGTGGGGGAACCGTCACCTGACGGAGGGAGGCTACATCTTCCACAACTACACCACCGTCACCGTGGAGAGCAAGGGCACAGCTGTATTCATCCAGACCGACAAGCCCGTCTACAAACCCACACATAAAGGTTCCCTCATGCTGCACCTGCTACTTAATCACCTTATCACGGCAAAGAAATGCAGAAAGACGAGGCTCATTTTTAAAAAGGTTTTGCCATAAAATCTAACTTTCGGTTAATTAAAATCAGCTTAAAGATGGCGTCATGTTGAAACTGAAGTACAAAGATGGAAATACGTACTTTGATCCTGATGTATTGCGTGTTTGGATTACGATATAGTGATGGACACATATTGACATGATACAAACAGAAAATAGTTCATATGCATTAATGCTTTTAAGTTAAAAATATGCAAACCTTCTATATTTTACAACAATGTGTTTTTTTCCCCTGCCTTTAGTATTCATCAATGTCTACACAGTCACCCCCGACCTGAGGCCAGTGAATGACAAGGTAATTCAAAATGAACGTCACGTTAAAGCAAATACAAAAGCAACAAATGCATCTAATAACATCGACTCCTTTGTTTACTTCCATAACATAGTGACATCACTATGTAACACTCCCGCTTGTACTGGCTAGCTTTCAACACATTGTACGTGATAGGCTAAGGGGCGGGATATCTCTAAGCGGTTGACCAATCACAACAGAGCCGGGCCAGCTAACCAATCGGACCAGACTGGGCTCTGGTTTCAGACAGAGGGTGAAAAGAGGTGCTGCAGCACAGGCAGTAGGAGAAAAATAAAGAGCTTTTTGAACATTAAAGCATTTAAAGATGTCACAATAGAGGCACTAAATACAAATATGAACCTGAAAATGGGCATAATAAGGCCCCTTTAATTAATATGATAATGGATAAATATGTATGGCATCTATCTTTACATTATACAACTGATACATCCATTTTTTTACCATGTCACTTTTGGCAATAGAGCCCAAACATGCTTTTCAATTCTGATTGCTGGAGTTAGGAGGGGGAACCTGGTCTGCCATGAGTTCAGAGAAATGTACAGTTACCTGTTTTCATGAGTGGAGCGAGAGTCATTTCTGTTGGAATGTGAGAAATGGCTCCAAATATACTGTGCAACCGTGCAGACAGACGCTTTATTGATGTTTGCAGCTATAAAGGTCCGCTGCTGGTCCGGGGCAATCCTCACTTTCACAGATGGATGATTGTTGGATAAGGAGTGAGCGGGGGGAGGGGGGGCATCGGGGGGGGGGGGGAGGTTTAGGATCCTCTCCAGGATTTACAGTTTGTCTCTGTTTCATAACGTCTTGTCTTTCTGTCTCCTCGTTTCTTTTTTTGCAGATCGAGGCGTATGTCTTGGTGAGTGGAGGCTGGCGGGACCACCCAGGGGACGGTGGCAATTTAAGTTCCCAGCCTGTGCTGAGATTACAGAGCAGGAGTCAGAGCAGCTCACCTAGATAACAGGGTGCTCTTTGGAACAGTGCGAGGATAAACAACATGAAAGGAAGCGCTTCTTCTCTCTGTTCTTGGTTTTGTCTTTATCAGACACACACACACACACACACACACACACACACACACACACACACACACACACACACACACACACACACACACACACACACACACACACACACACACACACACACACACACACACACACACACTGGCCTTACTTACTTATTGTCTCTCTTTCCAGATCTGGATTTTTTTGTAGGGCAAATTCATGATTTATGGCTAGTGCGAAGAACATAGATGTTTATTTTTAACAGCTCTTACCTGCAGCTTATGCATCCACTGAGGAACAGTTGTAGAAGTATTTTTGAAAGGTCTTGGGGTCAAGTCCAGTTCAAAGACTCATGTAGTTCCATGCTTTTTAATGTGAAATGAGTCATCTTAACGCTGGTTTTCATAACTCTTATTTGTTTTGTTAGGATCCAAGAGGATCCAGGATGGTCCAGTGGAAAAGTCTGAAGTCTGTCTGCTGTGGTGAGCCACATCTTCTATAATTTATTTACACCATCATTATCCCAAGGTCAGAGATTCAAATTTCATTGCAGTGGTTATACGGCTAATGTGTTTACTGAAGGAATACATTTTGGACATGCACTTGAATGTTCATTGCATAAAAAAGACAGAGAAAACTCTTGGCATATCAGAAGGGTCTACTGTGGTACGTTTTTGGTTTTTCAAGCATTCAGGCATTGAAGGAGTTAACTGCATTTCTCTGTCTCACAGGCGTTGTGAACATGAGCTTCCCTCTGTCGGACCAGCCTGTGTTTGGAGAGTGGTTTATCTTTGTGGAGGTGCAGGGCCACACCTATAACAAGTCTTTTGAAGTGCAGAAATACGGTGAGACCCTGCATGCAGCACGGAGCAAAACAGTCAGTAGCTTTGTTTATCAAGAGTAGAGTAAAATAAAATGTAGGTATTTCTTGTGTTTTTATTTCATATTCATATTTTTGTGTAGTACATAAAACTTCAAAAGCTCCATTATTCTGATACACATTTTTAAAAACAAGAAGACACGGGACAATGAGTGTTGTTATTTGGTGAAGAAAGCCACAAGCACAAGACATAATAATTCAAAACACATCAAAAAGTAAAATATGTTGGTGTATTAATATTCTGTGCTTCCCTCACAGTGATGCCCAAGTTTGAGTTGATGATCGATCCTCCAAACTACATCCGTGATCTGAGCTCCTGTGAGCAGGCGACTGTCAGAGCCAAGTAAGTCACACATACATTAATCAAAGTTATCCAATATACAGTATCTAACTAGGGCTGGGGAATATGGCCAAAATCTTCCATCACAATATAGGGTAAATTACTAAATAAATAGGCTATCATTGTAAAGCCTATATTTGTATAATCCTTTGTGAATAAAAACACAAGACCACATTTACACTGACATTTTACTGTAAAAACACCTGTAATTTTCATATGATATTCCCTGAAAGAAATTCACAATTACATTTTCTGTAAAGTTATAAATTGAGACCATGAATCATGATATCTCAAAAGACGTTTTGATTACGATATGATTCCAAAGTAAGAAGATAAATTATCGCATTGCTTTATCGCCTAGCCCTACATCAAACAAAAGGGCCTCTCTTTGTTTTTGAGAGGGATTTCATTTCATGATGATTTTAAATTGTTCTTTGATTCAACGACTTTGACCAATGAGCTGCCTTGTAGATGTAAAGCTCTTACATGGTCTGTGTTTGATGTCGTTCAGGTATACGTTTGGGAAACCAGTGACAGGGAAGTTGACAGTGAACATGACGGTGAACGGAGTGGGCTACTACCGGCATGAGATGGGCCATCCTGTGATCAAAAACATGGAGGTCAGTTCATTTATTCCCTTTTCAACAGCTATCCTATTACTCTGTGTGGATGCTGCTGTTATGAAGTTCATAACACATCCAAGGCTGGTGTTGAAATAAGATTGTTGATTGTGTCTGAATTGTTAGTTGGAGCTGAACATGGTTAATACTATTATTATCATACAGTAAATTCTACATAAGTATAATTATTATGGGCGAGCCGTAGCCCAGCCACTAGAATTATGTTCCACACATTCACAACTCCTCTTCCTCTCCGTAGATCAAAGGCTCTGCTAACTTCAGCCTGTGTGTGAAAGACATGATGCCCGTGGATGTGGCCGACCACTTCAGGGGAACTGTGAGCATCTGGGCGTCAGTGACCAGCGTGGATGGGAGCCGGCAAACCACATTTGACGATTCAACGCCCGTCCATAAACAGCTGATCGACATCAAATACTCCAAGGACACACGCAAACAGTTCAAGCCTGGTCTGCCCTACAAAGGGAAGGTGAGACTGTGGACACACCACCAGGGGCGCCATAAGGGGGTGAAAAGTTAGGACGATTCTAAGGGCCCGTGACTGACAGGGGCCCAAACTATTTTAGGACATTACGAAAAAAATGTTTAACCCTCCTATTGTCTTCGTTTTCCCCCCCTTACTTTGGTATTCGTGGTCAAATTTTACCGGTCCTGTTTTAACTGCTATTACATTAACACAAAAACCATTAATCATCACCAAATTTCATTGAACACCCTTTCAAACTGTAAGTATTGTATCAGACTACTGGTATACATGAAAAACTGCAGTACATATACAAAGAACAGACACTGAACATGTATTAATTTGCGTGTGCCAGGTGTGATTCATGTGGGGGGATTGGGCACTTAAGGGGGGGAAACACATCTAGAGTATGTGTGGGTGTTTGTGTGTGTGTTTTATCTTATCCGGATGGTTACTAATTCCTTTTCTTTATGGCGGTCACACCATGGGTATTACAAAGTTGACTAAATCATTCAAAATGCAATGGAAGTGGTGGTCAGCAATGTTATATGTTCAAATGTCTACTGTGAAGGATATCATAAAGCCTTAATGCAACCGAATGTAAAACAAAAAAGTTATGATTGATGAAAGTAGTAAATCGGTCAGATTTGACCCGAAGACAACAGGAGGGTTAAGTAACCAATGTGATATCTTTTCATGGGGCCCAAAATCCCTGGCGGCGCCCCTACTGTATGTGGGAGCAAGGCCATTTAAAGTGCTTTACAGGAGCAAAGGTTAACATAGGTAAACATTGAAATTACAATTAAAAGACAATCATTTAAAAAAGTAACATGTAAATAAACCAAAAAAAAGCAACAAAATATGTTAAAGAAAGCCAGAGTAAACACTAATGTTAACCTGCATGTTAAAGACAATAACAACACAAAATAAGTTAAAGATTAGAAAGTAAATGCAACACATACAAAAGCATACAAGCAAATAGTTAAAGGTCCAAAATAAGTAAGGTTTTCTATTAGTTTATTTTAAAAGGACAGTACACATAAATACACATGCCGTGAATGAGTCATGCCGAAGTTATGTTATTTATTGGAAGCCGGACTTACAAACAATTTGTAAACCCTGGTTTGAATGAACCTTAGATATATTAAGGAAGCATTTTCCATAGTTGGGAAGCATAAAAACAAAAAGCTGCTTCACCTCACTTTGGTTTCCTGGGGATGCTTTGTGAATCAAAGTTGCTATTGCAGGTTTATTGTTACCCTGTTCTCTTTGTATATATTTCTAACTTACTATTTGTTAACTCTCTCCCTGGAGATCGAGGTAACCTACCCTGATGGGAGTCCTGCAGATGGGGTGAGGGTGCGTGTGAAGGCGGAGCTGACCCTCAAAGACAACGTGTACACCAGCGAGCTGACCTCCAAGGGCGGCCAGGCCTCCTTTGAGATCCCCTCCATCCCCACCGCGGCCCAGTACGTCTGGCTGGAGGTCAGTGGTGGTAGTTTCTAATGTTAAGCGATATAAACTGGGCAGAGTGAGAATGTCATTTAAAGCAGAACTTTTGCTTTTGTTTGGAATAGACCAAGGTGACGTCCATTGATGGTAAGACAGTGGGAGACCAGTACCTGCCTAGCTACCTGTCCATCAGCAGCTGGTACTCTCCCAGCAGGTGTCACATCCAGATCCAGAGCCCCGGAGCCCCACTCAAGGTCAGTGATGGGGTATTTTCAGTCTGAATACCCTTGTGACTGTGGATTGTATTCTTCAGCATCAACGTTTTTGCTGTGCCTCATTTTGAACATTTTATGAAAAGATATATAAAACACATTTAGGTCTCCCGTACCTTTACTGCTCATGTTAAGTTTGTGATATTCAAGATTTTTTGTTCAAGGCTTTATTGTCAAATGCACATTAGCTACAGTGTAGATATGGCAATGAAAAACGTAAGTCACAGGCTCTTCCAACAGTGCAACATGAATATATATATATATAGGACATGGAACAAATAAAACAGATAACGGATATAAAGTAATAACAGGGGGTAAACCATAAAAGGTCTAAACAAAACAAAATATGTATTACATCATAATTCCACAGTGTCTTAATTCCATGATGATCCAGCATGTTTGTATCTTTGTGTGTTTACAGGTTGGCCAAGAAGCAGAAGTGGCTTTCAAGTCCACGTGTCCCTGTAACTTCACGCTGCACTACGAGGTGGCGTCCAGAGGGAACATCGTCCTGTCGGGACAGCAAGCCGCCAACCTGACCGCCTCGCACCGAGGGAAACGAGCCACTGTCACCTTCGACAAAAACATCCACACCACCCAGCTGCCTCCATCTGCCTCTGGTGAGATGTTTACCCAGAATACAGATATATATATTGGAAGTTAAAGATCACCTATTATGCAAAATCCACTTGTTCATGTCTCTTCTACATCAACATGTGTCCCCTCTGTGTAAAGAGACTCTGAAAGTTTCAGGAACAAAGATTCTCTCTCTTTTTGTCCTGATCCATTTATTTAAAAACCTGTCTGAAAATGAACTGATCAGATTTTGTCAACTTTATGATGTCATAACGAGTTTTGGCTTGTGTAACCATTAGCCAATCACCAACCAAGGTAACCCCCCCCCACCTTATCACCTGAATCTCCTCCTAGAGCACCATTGTGTTCTTTGTAACCAAATCTCTCTCAGAGGGGCGTGGGGAGGGGCTCCTTATTTTCATCTAAAGTAACAGACAGAGAATCAGCACTTTTGAAACAGGGCTGAAACAGAGGGGATTATGGGTAATGCTGCAATGCATGATCTGTCTGGTATTTCAAGGCCAAACACTTCAGAGACATGTTTGTATATATCTAAGACCTATAATATATTGAGAAAAAACAGTATAATAGGGGACCTTTAAGACTTACTTCTTCCACTTCACTTGTCGTCCCTCTTCCAGGTGCTGCAGGCTCCTCCCCCTCCCAGGCGGAGATGGACAGCTGTGTGTCGTATCTGCGTTTCCCCGTCAGCCACAGCATGGCTCCGCTCAGCCGTCTGCTGGTGTACTACGTGAGGGAGAACGGTGAAGGTGTAACAGACAGTCTGCAAATCCCCATCGAGCCCGACTTTGAAAACAAGGTTTGAATTATCCAGAAATATACGGCATATGATAAACGTTTGAATAGCCTTGAATTTTGAATTCACAGGTATTTACATTTTTGGATTGTTAAAAGATTGACATTTTATTACAAGGCTAATGAGCTTGTCCAAAAGTCATGTCATTACGATCAGAAATACTTTCACTCAGGCTTTGTAGCCAGAGAATCAAAAATAACAACAACCTACTTCTGAGATTAAAAGGTTGCATTTTTTGCGCATTTGACTTTAGAGATCAGACATGGGAACTGCAAATGTCTGACCCCTTTGCATTTTTTGAAGATCTGACCCACCTTGAAAAAGTATTATTTAGGCTCATTCCATGCTTTCTCCCGCCCATTTGTTAACTACAGACTTTATTATAATATAAATAAGTGGCTTTATTGTTATATGATTTACATTACATTAGATGTTACTTGTTAGACGCTTTTATCCAAAGCGACTTACATACTCAATACTGTGGACAATCCCCACAGGAGCAATTTGGGGTGAAGTGTCTTGCCCAAGGACACAATGACATGCTGACTGCAGTGGGGTTTGAACCTGTGCTCCCCCTGATCTGAACACCAACGCACTAGTCCACTACACCAAACGCCTCCCATATATAAGCATTAATCACGACAACATGATATGAACAGAACCGACAAAATCTTCTTTTAAAAGTTTAATTCATATACCAGCAAAAGCATTTTTCTGTCAATCCCTTTTTTACTCTGTATTTACACACATTTAGGTAGGTTTGATTTGTCCAAACATTGATGTTGGATGTGAATTTGTTATCATAAAATTGCTTTATTATGCAATTATAAATAAAAACCTGGAAAAAGTCTGTAGAAATGTTGGAGGTGAGTGGAGGTATCCATGCAGCAGCTCTGTCCACAGTGATGTCCGTAAACAAACAGCTGTGTTGGCCGGGAGAGCTCCACAGTTCCTGCCTGCATTAGGTGGAGTTAACTCCCTGAAGTATTTACAGCTCCCTGGCCATTACAACACTCTCCGTGAGTGTGTGAGTGTGTGGGTGAGTGTGTGTTGGAGGAGGGGTTCTGAGGGCATGATGAGACAGAGCGCTGCGGGCCGCAGGCAGATGAGCGGGGTCGTGACAGCGGAGGATGACAGGTTACAGAGTGGTGAAAGGAGGGCAGCGGAACCGATTAACGGAGCTAATTTGTGACTGCGCGCTGCTCAAAAATATTTTTGACGTGTGAAAGTTTACAGCCGACTCTCACCGTCCCTCCCCTCCTTCAGAGCCTGTAGTTTTCCACTCTCTGGCCTTATGTTTCCCACCACATCTGACAGTTTAACACTATAGGATGGAAATGTGTCTAATGTATAGGAAACACACATTCCTGCGTAGGAACTATCACGCAACACTGCCAACTAGCGCTGAAGCATTTAGCGAGTTGATAAATGAAAGAGATCAAGAGTAAATCAACAGCAACTTTAAGAATGTATTTTTTAATTCATGCCATTTATCAGAATTAAAATCTAATTCTATTGGAATCTGGATTTTAGGGTATTTTTCTTGGTCCAAGTACGTAGGATCAGTCCTTTCGTCATCCCGTCTGTCTCCCCCTGTCAATGATGCATCTCAAATAAAACTCACTCTCCCAAAAAATACCTTTTTTATAGAGTGATTCTACAATTTAGGGTACATTCCATGTCCTTTGATCTCAATTGATGATAATTATAATTATTCTTTCTATTTTCTTCAAAAATATCATATTTTGCCTTTTATTGGAAAGCATGTTATAATATCACACAAACATTATCTGCATCCTATGCTTAATTTAGCTTGAAATGTGTCATGATGTTCTTAAATTGACAGTTTTTGCTCTGTCCGTTTTTCACTTGAGGGTGTCTTGGTTTCAAAATAATGAATAAAAACCATTAAAGTAAATAAAAACTGTTATTCATTTATTTCAAAAGTCTAAATATTAAAGATTAATCATATTTTTTAAATTGATTTCCTCCTTTAAATAATTTAAATATTTTAATATTTAGCTCCATCTTTCAAATGCAAGGATTTTATTTACAGAAAATAAAATGAATCAGCTGATTAATAAACAACTATCTCTACTGCCAGATTAGGTAGATGAGAACAACTAAAAAAACTTGTTTTATAAATGCAGGCTAGTCCATATAAAAGCTCATTCTATGTTTAAAGTATTGTGCATTGAATTGTGTTGATTCGTTTGCAGGTTTCTGTTTCCCTGTCATCTAACGAGACTTTGCCCGGAGACCCTGTGACTCTGCGTGTCCGTGGAGAAAAAGGCTCCTGTGTGTGTGTGGCCACGGTGGACAAGAGCCTCTATCTGTTAAAGCCTGACTTCCAGCTCAGTCCAGACAAGGTCAGTCCAACGTTTTTAGTGATATTTAACGATATTTAATTATGTCAAAAAAGTTACTTGATCTTTTATAGAATCCTACATAACATTACATTTCATTTTATCTGACGTTTTGAACCAAAATTACTTCCATACACTTCAATACCATAGACAAAGCTAATGAAGCAATTTGGGGTTAAGTATCTTGGTCCAGAACACTTTGACATGTTGACTTGTATGGGGGGAATCGAAGTCCATTTACACCCTGAGCCACAACCTTAGTCTCTCAAAGTGTTTCCCGTGTGCAGGTGTTCAAAGAGCTGGCAGATTTTGACGTCTCGGATGCCTTCGGGATTCCCAAAGATGACGGACACTTCTGGTGGCCCGGGCTGTCGTCACGGAGACGCCGACGCTCCTCTGTGTTCCCGTGGCACTGGGACATCACCAAGGACGCACGCTTCGCTTTCTCAGTGAGAATCACTCTTAGTTATAGAGCATTTAGTGGGGCTATGGGCATAACAAAAAAAATAGAAATCATTTGTGTGTGTGTTTATTTTAATTTTTTTAAGTCTTTATTGATTATTTTTACATTTATTACATTACCAAACACAACCGAACATTACCCAACATTAGACATATGGCAGATGACTAAATAATGCTAAAAACCTAATAAAATAAAAAGTGTGCAGTTACTAGAAATCATTTTAAAGTACAGACCAAGAATATTACATTTGCAAAGTAAAAAATTCAACAAAAATACAATAAAAGCACATCCACAAACAGAGCAGAGTACAGCTTACAATTCTCCAAATAAGTTAGCCATATTCAACATATCCTTTTTGTGTTTTAATGTCTCTGTTTGTTTACCACAGGAAACCGGGCTGGTGGTGATGACAGACATGGTGAGTCTGAACCACCGGCAGAGTGGAGGCATGTACACGGACGAGGCCGTCCCCGCCTTCCAGCCACACTCCTCCACCTTAGTGGCCGCCATGCACTCTCGACCCACAGCCAGGTAAACAACCTGCCGTAGAGAAGTCAACAAGTGAAGCCCCACTATAACTGTGATGTGTGAAAAGTTTTCTTGACTGGCATCTAAAACGCTCCAGAGGTTTATACTTTTCTATCTCAAAGTTAAAAGAAATAAGTACTTGGAATAATAAAAAAGCTTTTTTTTGTTTTTTGCTTTAATTATCTGACTGACAACACAAGACAAACTGAAAGTTAAACATTTATTTTCAGTCAGAGGTTAAAACATATTAGCACACAAGCAGCATGTGTTTACATCCATGACTCCAAGAAGATACAATACGAAAAATAATAATAGAATAATACTCCCAAAATAAGACAACGTTAAAAATACAATACAATAATACAAAATACATTTAAAAAAATCACAAAAATATTAACTAAAACAAGGAAAAATATAAATATTTCAAAAATAATTGTTAATCAAAGTTGACTAAATCTCAACAGAGAGTTAACTGTTTGATCATGTGTGTCACGAGATAATGGCTTTGTTGTTAAAGTAAAGGCTATTTAATAAATGAAGCCTACGATCTTTCCCAGCTTCCTCTGTCAGGGTGGCCCCTTCATGTGTCTCTAACTATGAAGGGTCCCTCTATTTGAATATATTACTTTTAAAATGCCTCTGATACTTATTCTAATCTCCCTAATTGTGAAAGACAGTCAAAACAAGTTATTGAAGAAAATCTACTGTGATCTTAGTCTGGACCACACACAGTTAATTAACATCTGCTTTTCTGACAGAAAACTCATGTGAGAACAATAATTACTTAATGCTCCTAGAATTATATTAAAGTAATACTCATGTCAGTGTTTGTCACGCCGGGGTTGAACAAAGGTATCTAAAATGAGTGATGTCACACAAAAGACATAAACATGACAAAATAAATGAGTTTGTTGTTGGTCCACATTCCTTAATGGCACGAACACTTCTCTTTTTAGTGATGAACAGTAAACACATGACGTTACTTAGAGATTGTCACTGTGGAATTCACAATGATACATTTTCCCATGCTGGTGTTGTTTTATTGTGAGCAGCTGAAACCCTTTATTGATGTCAGCTTGTGTTTTGGTTGCAGAGCAGAGAAGCGAAGGCGTACATTTTTCCCAGAGACTTGGGTGTGGCACTGCCTCAACGTCAGGTATTTCAATCTTTTCTATACATATCTCAACTGGGTGTGAGTGTCTGCGTGTTACATGCATTTGGCAGATCAGATGCACCATCTTGTATACACTTATGTGGGATTTAGTCACAATCTGGTGGTCCGAGTGGAGAGGAGCAAAAACCTAAAAGGATGAAACAGGAACAGAAAAGAAAAGAGACAAATCTAGATACAAGACATATTGTCGTTATTATTTCTTACTTCCCTTCACACTGAGACCTGTCATAACAATAAGTCTAAAGCTGTCTTAAACAGTCAGAATTGTTTTAAACTGAAGCTATGGCTTGTACTGGACTAAACTGTTCAGACACACAAAGGGAAATTATTTGCAGCATTTGTGATCACTCCTGCTATTTCAGATTTAGATTCAACTGAGATAAAAAAGCATGTTCGAGGGGAATTAGTTACATGGCACTTGACTATAATGGACTTAAAAACCGTTATTTATTTTAAGTCTTGTACCAAATAAAATAACCTGATCTGCATGGCTTCAGAGCATGGAAAACCAAACTCGTTAGCTAAGTGTGATTCTGTGAACATAAAGTGTTTCTTTGTTTATGTTTTAATTATTTGTCATGTTCATGTTGCAAAAGGTGCTGCTGTGATGCATGAAAAACGTTATACTTTACCTGACAATCAAGTTTTATCTTATCGTAATGTTTCATATCGTATTGTATAGTATTATCGTATTGTATCGCATGGTAATGTATCGTATCATAACGTTTCGTAATGTATCATAACGTATCGTATGGTAATGTCTCGTATGGTAATGTGTCGTATGGTAATGTTTCGTATGGTAATGTCTCGTATGGTAATGTCTCGTATGGTAATGTCTCGTATGGTAATGTGTCGTGGTATCGTATCATAACGTATGGTAATGTCTCGTATGGTAATGTCTCGTATGGTAATGTCTCGTATGGTAATGTCTCGTATGGTAATGTGTCGTATGGTAATGTTTCATCGTATCGTAATGTATCGTATCATAACGTATGGTAATGTATCGTATCGTAATATATCGTATCATAACTATGGTAATGTATCGTATCGTAATGTATCGTATCATAACGTATGGTAATGTATCGTATCGTAATATATCGTATCATAACTATGGTAATGTATCGTATCGTAATATATCGTATCATAACTATGGTAATGTATCGTATCGTAATATATCGTATCATAACTATGGTAATGTATCGTATCGTAATGTATCGTATCATAACGTATGGTAATGTATCGTATCGTAATGTATCGTATCATGGTAATGTATCGTATCATAACTATGGTAATGTATCGTATGGTAATGTATGTATGGTAATGTTTCATATCGTAATATTTCATATCGTAATGTTTCATATCGCAATGTTTCATATCATAATGTTTCATATCGTATCGTAATCTATCGTTTTGTATCGTGTCTTATCGTTTCGTAGCTAATCGTAAGAAAAACACGAAATTAGAAGAGGAAGTTGGTAGAGAAGATTGGGAGTTGGGGTTAAAAACCAGCGAGTGAAGATGGGAGATTTGAGAGAGGAAAGGTCCCGTATTTCCCCCCTCTGGGTGTGAATGTGCCTCATTTAAACTGGGCGATCTTGGAACGGACTGTCACTAAACAGCTCCGTCCATTCATTTTCAGCCAATGTAAGTTAACTGCCCATAGATTTCCATATGCTTGATTCCTTTGGATGAGACTTCAGTTCTGCCTAATTTCCTGCAAACTCCAAAGCCCTGATTTCCCTTTAAAAGTCTATTAAAGTGGGTTTTGGGCAACTTTGATCAAAAGAAACGGCCTGCATGGAGTATTTCAACTTTTATGATATCCTGCGACCGTTTGCCAACACCAACATTAAATTTGCCATTAATGAGTCAGTCCATTTCATCCAGAGAAACAGATCCGGTCAACACCTGACTATCCACCACTTATCCATTTGAGCGTGTTTACTGTACTTACATTGGTGCAGGTGTTGGTGTTGACACAGGTGTTACTCACATAAAAGTGATCTGCCGTCATCAAACACATCTTTGTAGTCTGCGCCTTGTTATTGCTTAATGAAAAGATGCTAAAACTATTTTCTCTCCAACTAAATTTGCCACTCAAGTTGTACATGTGTAACTCACTCACAGCTCTGAGAGCGGGGAGGCCGAGCTGAGATTGGAGGTGCCGGACTCGATCACCACCTGGGTGACAGAAGCCATCGGCCTGTCGGAGGAGAAGGGGCTCGGTTTAGCAAAGAGAGCTGAGCTTCGGACCTTCAAGCCCTTCTTCGTTGACTTCACCTTGCCCTACCGTTTAATCAGAGGGGAGCAGACCAAAGTTCCCCTCACCGTCTACAACTATCTACCATCCTGTGCCGAGGTAAGATGGTGAATGAGAGGTCAGATCAACAAGAAACAAGTTACCTTTAGACGCTGCAGCATGTGTGCATTAAGGCTCATCAGCAGTTGCCTTCACACAGTACTTATCTTACATTATTTATCTCAAAAAACATACTGAAGTGGACATGGGTTCCACCTCTCAGGTCTTCAGGGGTAGATATCAAAGTGCCATAATCATGTTTTAGCCCTTAACATACAAAACTGTGAGGCATTTTTCAAAAGAAGGTTTAAAAGTTGGATTTTTTCAGTATTTGCAGGTTATGACAATTCTGAAAAAGACTTTAGAAGGTATTAAAGTGCCTTAGATTTAATTGACAAAGATCTTCAAATTAATTTTAACATTTAAACTAAATGTTAGTTTTAAAATATGTTTTGGTCTTTAAGCAGGTTTTCATAGGGATAGTTAAATGTGTCAAATCTATAATAAGTAATTCTAGGTCATATTATCCCCATTGGCTTTTCATGATACTTTTATAATTTGAAAGGTTTGGTTGTGAAAGTGTTATTACATTGCCTTCTTACATGTGTGGGGCTCAACAGGTTAAAGTGTGCATTAAGATGTTATTTGTGCATTGTTTGTCAAACTAAAAGATATCCCTGTTCACGTCATAAGTACCAGAGAAGTCAAATTGAAAGTCTTCACCCTTCCTGAAAGGAAAATAGGAGTTAGCATCAAAAAAGATGAAATGGGATGGCATGGGAAATGTACAAATCAAATGTGTCAGAAAAAGGGTTAAACTGCTAAAGAAACAAGTACCAACACAATGTTATGTCACTTCAAGCAAGTGGGAAGTCTTAGCAAGTAGATGTTCACAGTTTAAATACATGCGTAGATGACATAGGCTGTCTCCTGAAGTGGGAAAGTGAAGTTAGTTGCTTCCTACAGCTCAATATTACAAACTTGTCGAAGGGCTTAACAATTTAAACCACAAAATAAATCCTCAGTTGTGAAAATGTGTTGTAGATCATGGAGGAGACACAGAGCCTCCACCAGGTGCTGAAAACCAACCTAAAAACACATGATGTGCCTCATCGGTGATGTCAAACCATTTTGATAATCAAAGCAAGGCTTGTTATGGAATGATTGTTGGTAGAGGTCTATTGGTTCTCACGGATTGAAAGATGAAGCCAAAGGAAGCGCAGGTGTTTTTTTTTTATGTGAAATTATGAGATTAGCTTGGAAGTATGTTGAAGGCTCTCTTTGTAGCCCTTTAAGCTCCGTCCTGGCCTTAAATGGGTCCATCCTGTGCTCCTCTCACATGACATCATGGTGTTTGCAGATGAGCCCGTTAAATGGCCTGTGCGTGTGCTGCCCTGATGTCATGTTAGGTGAATATACAAACCAGAGTAGCCCTTGCTTTGATGTCCGTCCCAGCAACATGTGATTCCTATATTTTCTGCTCAGTTATTTACGACTTGTGGCGTGTGGATAAAGAACAGTTAAAAGATCCCTCCGCATTACTGAGCCTCTGTGAAAATTGGACGATGAGTGAAACTTAATCCTTCAGGGAGCTCGAGAAGCATGAGTCAGACAGCATGGAAAATCCACAATGTGATTTAAAAATTCTCCCTCGCTTTCCGAGCTTTGAGGAGCACACGCTATATGAGGGAGGGGCGTGCCGGCAGTAATGATATCACTGTAGCTGTCAGAGGAGATCTGATCTGACCTCTGATTTGTCTCCTTTCCTCTCTTCCCACAGGTTCATGTTAAAGTCTCCGTCCCAAAAGGCATAACGTTTATCGGCCACCCTGGAAAGCACCACCTGACCAGGAAGAAGTGTGTTGCTCCTGGAGAGGCGACACCCACATCCATTGTGCTGTCTTTCACTGAACTGGGGTCTGCAAACATCACAGGTATTAGAGCCAAGTCATTTCTTTATAGCATATTTCACAAGTCACACATTTCTTTAAAGGTGCTTTACAATCTGTATAATTTAACAACCACCTAAAATGGTGGCCACAATAAAACTTTAATGGGGATTAAATGGAAGAAAGCAGGTGCCATCGCATTTCTAATGATAACTGAATTGAAAAATAAATAAACAAAAATAATAGATATGAAAGCTTTTAAATTTATGTGAACATATTTGAGAAATGTATGGTCTCCCGGCATGTATTTTCACTGTTAGTATAAAAGATCAAATGAACTGGTAGCAGTTTAATTACTGCAACAATTATATAGACTTTCTTTATCTTTCAATACATGAACAGAAAGGAGGCCTTTGTTCTTATCTACATGTTCATCAGTCATAAGATAATAGAACACAAAGACTTACACTTAAGACAAAACATTTGGAGAAAGAAATAGAAACTTGACACAAAACAAAACAACCTTTATCTAAAGGTCTTATTCAAAGTTTAGAAGCCAATGAAAACAATGCTGATTAGATTGTGCTGCATAATGGACATTGCATAATTGGAGCTCTTAAGTGGCGCAGCACTTGAAAGAAATATCAGCCTCAGTGTGATGCCTCACAAAAAGGCAAGCATTTGACTTAAAGAGCCGAGGGGCCGAGCTGTGTGTGATCAGGTCCCCCACACACAGTTACAAACAGTCCCCTGCTCAACGCATGTGAGAACAAAGCAGGCCGGCAGTGGGGGGGCAGCCGGAGCTATGCTGTGACACTCAGTGGCATGTTGATGAGTTTGCAGGTCAATGGAGGTCAATGGGCCCCCCACGGCCCGCTCCTTGTCCACTGGCCCCTTGTGTTTCCCTCTCAGTTCACACACACAAAGAGATGCCAGTGGCACGGGGCCACATTTCCAATGTCCTCCCAGGCAGGAGAACGTGGAGTCCTCTTACAGACATGTTGTCCTGTGTATCGTATGTTGATGACCACACATGACGAAACAGATATGGCCTTGTTGTGGTATTAGTCATGTTTGACTTCACTTCAAATTCGGCAACACTATGATATACATTTTTCCGTTAAATTCCCCAATAAAGAGCAACTTGTATTTACTTTATATAGTCCAAGCATCAATGTCTAGATTAGCAAAGGTCAAAGCAATGTCGCCAAGTATGATTTTTGACTTACGAATAATTTTTTATGTTTCACAAATCCATTGAAATGTTGCAGATTTTACATAAATATTGGTTTATTGAAGCAACCCATACAAAGTGAGTGTTAGACCCTTTGCATGGGAGGAGCTGAAAGATCTCTTTGGCAAAGGTCCAAACTGTTTTCTCTTAGTATTCACAAAACGCTAAGAAATACTTTGTTTTGATAATAAGAAATAATTTGACTACAACTTCAAAGAAACTTGAGGCAGACAACATTTAAAGGGACGCTCTCAGCCCCAGTGCTCCCAGGTCTACTGTTAGCATTTTAGATTGAACAAATACTACATATAGGTTGGAAAAAAGCCAAGGGGAGTCACAATAGTTTGACCATTCTAAACAACCAATGAAATGATATTGTGATGTGATATTACTGAAATACGGAAAGTTTATTGTTTTTTTTTTTGCCGTCCGGATAGCCCGCGCCATCGCCTACAGTGAACCGAGCTGCTGTGCTGATGGAATGCAGGCCGGCAAGACGAGTAATGATGTGGAAGATAAAAGAACTCCGATTGGTCTGGATTATGTTCGCAGAACCGTCCAAGTGGAGGTAAGAGAGCACATATTTGAGATGGAGAAAACTTGCTTTATATGTTTTTAAATGATTCAATATAATGCAGAAATTGGGTTGAGATAATATGTCAAAAACCTTTATTATTACCTTAATTTTTTCCACTTTTTAACTTTCTTTGTCTTCCTTTAATCTCCTTGCAGCCAGAAGGCCTTCCCAGGGAATACACCTACAGTGTCTTCTTCTGTCCTAATGGTCAGTGTGGATGTATTTTCCTGATATTGTATAATTATTTTAACATTTTAGGAGACTAATGTAAGATCCTAGTTTGCCTGCTGTATAATCACACAAAATACATTTCTTTAATTGATATATACGCATGAATTCAATACTAGTGCACTGTTACAGCTATAAGTACACAATACCTGGGTTTAAGTGCGTGAATGTCTTTCTCAGAGAGAATCCACATTTCCACCCCCAACAAGTACGAGTATCAGTATGTGAAAAAGCCGGCCAAGATGAACCAGTTCCAGGTGGCAGTGAAGACCCACAACGACGCCCACTTTGCCCTCTCCGCCAGCCCCCACGACAGTGCTGAGATGCTGGAGATCGTGCTCGGGGGAAGGCAGAACACTCGCTCCTGGATCTCGCTGGGGAAGATGGGCGAGCCTCTGATATCTGCGGCCACACCGGGACTCCTCTCCTGGGACGAGTTCCGCAGCTTCTGGATCAGCTGGAAGGGAGGCGTGGTGCAGGTGAGGAGACCAAAGAGCTGCAGTGGCATTTTGTCCTCCAACGAAACAAAAAAAATGAACTCAAAATTCAACTGCAACCGAGGTACCATGGATTGAATCTTCAATCAATACAATACAGCTTTATTTATAAAGTACTTTATAACCTCCAGACCAAAGTGCTGTACAGTCAAATAAACAAACAAAACACATATCACACAGCACAGCTCACACATCATAAAACAAGTACAAGTAGAAAACAATAGCCAATGTAAATAAATAACTCAGAACTAACAAGAACTGTAAAGTATTGTATGTCAATTATGAAGAAGTCCTTCTCCAGTACCGAGTATCAGGGGGGCTGGGCCAAAATCTTCTATCAGTTGGTACATATCACAGTGTAGCATGTTTTCTTGTTATCCAATACCTTAATATAGCATCAATTAAGTAAGCTTATAGTAAAACAGATCTTTGAGTTTGTCTAGTAGTTAAGTGTTTTATCAATATATTAAGAAATTATTGCAAAATGAATAAATATTTCCAGCTATACACAGACCATGTTTACACACACACACACACACACACACACACACACACACACACACACACACACACACACACACACACACACACACACACACACACACACACACACACACACACACATACACACATACACACATACACACATACACACACACACACAGCAAAATCAGATTAGGCAAGAGTTTGTTTAAACAACACTGGGGTTTCCCGTTAGCAGAGTTCTTGGCTGGAGGCACGAAGGAGTCATCACAATAAACTGAGTGATAATGTGTATACAAATACAAATATTCAAATGATAGTCCCTCAAACTATTTCACATTTGAGGAATGATGTGATTGTAATTTAGGTAATAATTTGGTGCCATGAAATCTCAATAAAAGATTATGAACGAATGTTGATCCCAATACTATTCCATTGAAAGATTAATTATCACAATACATGTTCGTCCAGGTCAGGGTTTCGATAAATAGCTGAATTATTTTAGTGTCATAGACTGGCAGCAATGAATTGACTGTTGATCATGTAAACAGATGAGAACATATAGAGATAAAACCTCCTGCAACAGATTTGTGTTTAGATCATGCCACAAAGACACAAAGAGGAGAGAGTGAAAAGGACCCAGCAGGCCATGGGGTCTGTGTGTTAGGAGGACTGGCGCCACTTTTACTGGCATGGTTTCCTGTAAGGTCACGCTTAACGGGCCGATGTCAGTGAGGACACTCGGTGATCCATGGCACTCAGTGGCTGGCACAGCATTATCCTCGCACCATTCACCAGAGGCCGCAGTTAAAAAGCCTGCGTATTACAACCCAACAGCAGTTATTTTCCTGGGGACGATGGCATTTCAGGGTTGAATGAGCTGTGGGCTTTTCGTTTAATATGATTACGCAATGTAACTCTAGTAGAGGAAATGTGCTCTACATGGGTGTGTTTGTATGTTTGTGATGTGTGTGTGTGGGAGGTGGGTGACCAACACTTGGCAGAAGGACATTATTAGCATGAGGGGAGTCCAAAGAAAGCAGCGGTTACTTTTTAAAGTGGCTTCATAATGATTTCTCCTTGACTGCTATATGTTTGTTCAGCCTGTGTGCTTTTCTCTCTGCAGGTGGGCCACGGTTTACATCCATCAAATGACTCAGTGATCCTGCAGTGGGTCGGCCAATTCCACGGACAGGTTTGACTCTTTTATGGCATTTTATATACTATTTGCATTTCATCTTTACAGATTCCTTTTAAAAGTAATTTGTTTGTCCGTCCAGGTTCGTCACATTGGCTTCTCAACAGGCTGGGGGTCAGTCGGGGAGTTTAAGATCTGGAGGAAGGAAGACTCTGATGAGAACCACAATGAGGCCTTCACTCTGGGGGTCCCACACAACATGGTGCCCGGATCTGAGAAGGCCACAGCGTTTATGATTGGTAAACTTTTTAAATTGCATTACAATACATGAAGTACTACTACATGCTTACAGGAGAAATTAAGGGTCAAAGGTTCAAGGTTCAAAGGTTTTAATGTCATATACACAGCTACAGTGTAAGCATCTTGCCCAACGAACCTTGATTGGTAGACACTAAATTCAACCGTGAGCCTTGTATTACCTTCATTATAATGCATCCTTTTAAAGCCTTAAAGCCTTTGCTCATATCAGTAAAGCTTACATGCGTTTTATGTATTGTTTCTGTGTGCACCTGAACCAGGGGACGTGATGGGGCCGACTCTTAACAACCTGGACAAGCTGCTGCGGCTGCCCTTCGGCTGTGGGGAGCAGAACATGATCCACTTTGCCCCCAACGTCTTTGTTCTGAAGTACCTGCGGAAAACCCGGCAGCTCACCGCTGACGTTGAGAATGAAGCCACTGACTACCTGCTCCAAGGTACAGAAACCAAACCTACTTCTGATTTTCATAACACATTGCACCCTTAGAATAAACTATGAATGCAAATTTACCGCAGTGGATTAAAGATGAGCTCCTCACTAAGATTTAAAAAGTTGTCTATTAGTCTTTTTTTACTTCTTGTTCTATGACTTGTGCATGTTTGTGAAGTAAAGATATGGGTTAAGTTTTTGTTCATTAGTACTAACATTTCTCAAACACATTCCTCGAATCCTGCTGACCTACTTCCAATTAGTTGGCTAATTGTTCATTTAGCTCTCTGAGTGTAGCAGGAATCCCATCAAGTCCAATCCCCTCTGGCCTGACTCTGACCAAGTGACTTAATGCTGAGCGAAAGAAATGTTCTCTCATTTGTTGGAAAGTCGTTTTTTTCTGGAAACAACTGAAACAAAGTTTTGCTTGGATAATGAACTGTGTTTGTGTAACCAAGGAGCCTTGGCAACATTTACTCCACTTCCTCTACTTTCTTCACTTGTCTGCGAGACTTACTCGACAACTCTAACTAGACCTTTTCTAGCACCCAACATCAGAGAAACTGTTAACAGTTGCAGTGGTAAGAGACGGTAAAACTAAGCATCTGCAGTCATGGAAATGTTCAGTTGGAGCTTGTCTTCATTTATCTTTGGAATTTCTCCCTTATTTTGAGGAACTATTCTTGCTCTCCCAGCAACTCTCTATTGCTTTTTCTCCTCCAGGCTACCAGAGACAACTGACCTACAAGCGGCAGGATGGATCCTACAGCGCCTTCGGAGAGAGGGATTCCTCCGGCAGTATGTGGTAAGTCATTCTGAGATGTAGCTGTGGAAGTTTACACTGCTCATACCAGCCAAGCTATGCTTAACTGTACCCACATTCTTCAGCTTTAACTGGGACATAGGTTGCCGGCCAAAGTAATGAAGTTTTTATCAGCGTCTCGGTACGCTGAGCTCAGATTTATCTATTCCTGTTGATGTGTTTAAATCTCTGGTGAGTTTTTCCTCCCAGTGTTTATTTCAGGTTTACACTCCCTGTGGGCCAGCAGGCAGGCAGAACCATCTCAGGATATTTATAAAAGTTAAATCAATGCTCTCAATGGGGAGCTCCACTGCTGGTATTTGGAAGCCCACGCACAATGTGCATACCTCAGGTTGATTTATGAGCTGAGGTGGGTATTATGATATTTAATAGAGCTAGCACTGTGAAACAGCAGGTTGCATAAACGGCAGAGAATCATAAACAAGCAGCATAATTGGATCCCTGAGGTAGGCAAAGCTGTCGAGATGTATTTGAAGTTAATCAGGGTTCATATCCGTTGCACTGTGGCCCCCTGCTGCTTTGGCCCCTCAGACGAGCTCTTAATGCCACTATTGGAGACACTATTATAAGTTGTCTGGAGCCACTTCACCAAATGGCGCTTTACCTTTTTTTGACATTGCCTATAGCAAGCAGAGCATGCCTCTTAATGACCCACCACCTGTGTGTAATTGGTAACATTAAACTTCTATGGAAAGCTGTGTCTTCCTGTGATGACTGTGAGAGGATATGAGGATGTAACGAGCTGCGGTTTGGAGTTTTCCTTGGCACCTCAGGCAACAAGTGTGGGCACAGCTCAGATGGTGAACCTTCTGTAAACCTGCATCAGACACTTTATGAATCCATCAACAACATGTTTGCATCCAAAACAAGCCCGGCTTTTAGTTTTTAGCTCCAGAGTTCACGAGTAGAGCAGTGCATTTACGGCCTGCTTAAAAGCACCCGTAATGCAGTGTTAATGTATTCCAGCTTGTAAAAATGCATCTGAGTGGAAATTGACAGGATCTAATGAAAAGATTGAACTTAATGACAAGGGCTGGCAGTAATGTGTTGGCACTGCCCATCTCCGGTGCCAAGGCTGTTAACACTGCACACAGAGGGCTGAGAGTTCACCGCTTCAGAGTCAGGGCGACACTAACCAGGAGACATGGGGCTGATGGAGGTTTTGAACCCCTGGCTCCTTTTTATGTTGAGCTCAATAAAAATGACTGCTGTTTTGCTAATACAGACCAATATTGTGGTTGGGTGTGGGTTTGTACAAACATTGACAGTTTTTTTTATTGCCAAACTTTTCCTCAACTACATTTATTTCCTAACCACTGATCCCAGCTGTAGGCCTTTGAACTAAACATAACCTTACTTTTAACTTTAACAAAGGAGACCAATAGAGGCGTTTCAGGCACGAGAGGGAACACAGGGATTTTTGCCTTTTCAGACCATTTACATGCACACAAACCTTTATAACAAACTACAGTAAAGGGAAAACTCTTTAAAATAACCCCTTTGGGTTGTGTAATGTTCTTTCCATCTTTAAACTTAATCTCAATACAGACAACATCCCAGCCCCCTGCTGTCCTTTGTTATCCTCAACTCTCACAAACCTACAGTACTTAAACATATGTGTTATTTATACAGGAGGCCCCAAAGTGTCCATATTTTCTATTTAAGCTAAGAGAGGAAGCCTGAGTTGCAGCATTACTAAATAAGTGCGTTTTACGAACGTGTCAAAGGTGGACTCCCTCCTTCTATAATTATTACATTATTTTTTCATTTTCTCTGACAGACTCAGTGCTTGGCTGTACATGTTGAGACTGGCATGGCATTTGTGTCTGCCCAAAGACTGATCTGACAGTGTTAGTGGGGTTAGGGGGCTGAATACCAGAGATTGTGAGAACTGATATCTGCTGGTGTATTAACCTTCTGTAATATCTGTTTCCAGTCCTTTGCCAAAATGACAAGCCAATGTTTCTCTCTTTCCTATGATGTAGTTTGGCTTCATTGCATAGGTATCTAATGTGAAAATAAAGCCATCTATTGTCAATATGTACGATCAAAAAACAAAAGGGAATGTTGTCTTGTCACAGAGCTATCATCCACTGACAGCCTGCAAAAGTAATCCTTAGAAAACAATTATACAAATAGACCTATCCTTAAAATGGTAATATAGCGTTGATCATCCACGGGCAGACACTTGCTAACAGTTTACTGGTGTCTTTACTTAGTTTAGTTGCAAAAGTATCAGCAGTAGCTCCTGATCCATCATTTCAGCTTCATTAGCCCCAAGGCAGCTCTTCCTAAAGGTGTGTTCAGATCAAACGTGAAGCAGATTTTTGCCTCCCATTAGTTGTGCAAATACTGCTGCGGGATTGTTTTCTGGAGTATTTAACAACTTGTGAATATTCACCCTTTATAGCCAATGTAAGCACCTCTTCCCTCAACCATACATGGATACCACATAGCTTGGTAGTTTAATAATACATTGCATCTATTAACGTGTCGTGATTGTGTCTGTAAGCGCACTGGTGGCCTTGACACACTTCAACCCTAACTCTAAGTTAAAATAAAAGACCTATGAATGCTTTTAAAATGGACACACACAACACAACTTCTCAATATATGAAAGCACAAAACACTTAAAGGTGGGGTATGTAATTTATTTCAGAAACACTTTTTGTTATATTCCATGGAATGCTCTTAACATCCCGATAGCAACGAATACATGAAATGCTTTGACAATAAATACATACAAAAATGTCATCTGTGGAAGCCGTGGCGCTGTAAAAAGCACGACCAATCATCTGAGCCGGCCCGGCTAAAGTAACTGGATGGTCTACCTGCCTGTCAGCCTTCCATCTGTGCACAAACTTATCTCGTGCCCTCATTGGTCATGTGCGCGTTCGTGTGTGTTGGAGAAGGGGCTCTGTAAGGAAGTCTGAAGGAAGGGGCAGGTTTTTTTCGGCTGCGTACTTTCAAATTCTAGCGCACTCGAGCTGGTTTCTCCAAAATGACATT